TCATCTGGTTTTGAAATGTCGATTCTCGGGGCTTTTAGTCGCCTTTCTTTCTAGAGATATTTCGATTTTTTTGAAGAGTATTTCTATAATTTGTCATTCCATCTCCAAATACCCAAAGTTTTCTATTTTTCTCGGCAGCTTTTCACCTGTTTCTCAAAGGGTATTCCTTCGACTTCTTTTTCCATCTTTCCGTCCCACATTAAGGGTATCTATCGGTCAGCTTCCCGCCTTTCTATAGCTTTTTTCTGCTCGGCTTTTCCATACATCTCCTGCTGTCAGCAGCGGACAAAAATTTAGTAATTTAAATTGATTTATCCGACTAGAAATAAATAAATATCTCTGGCACACTCTCCAGTCAGCCGCACACTATTTTGGGGCCACTAATTAAATTTAATTTCTCCTTGATTAAAGGCATTTATTTCGATGTTGGCATGTTTTCAGGGTTTCTGGTTTTCTGGTAGTTTTGACAGCCCCGACAGCCATGTCTTCCATGTCTTCCGTCTCTTCCCACCTGACACGTTCAATTATTAATTGTATGATTGATGGTTTCGCACAACGTGTGGTCTCCTCCACCCCACTCCACTCCCCCCCCACCCCCATCCACAGTCCTCAATCCTCAATCCACATTCCCCACTTCGTTTGTTTCGCATTAGCAGCCAGTGGCATGGAGAGCGTCTCCATGGGGAGCTAAATACTCCGCGCGAAGCTTTTTTGTAGGTCTCCGATTTGGGCGTGAGAATCCCCCTATTTCTCGCTTCTTTTCTCAATTGTTTTCTTCAATGAAGTGCGCTGATTAGTTCGGGTTGCCGTGCTGTCCATATAAATGTAATTTGTCTTCAGGGAGAAGCTTTCAAAACTTAAAAGTCATCCGAAATATATGTTAGGAACGAGCTCCTTTGCTACCTTAAGTTTTTTAATGGGGCCACGCAATTCGATTACTTGATTAGCTGAATAAAGTGCTGTCTCATCATCCAGTGACCACCTAAATATTTAAAAAGGTTTGACATCTTTCATTTAATGCATTTTTGGAATATAAACTATAATTGTTTTACATTTTCGGAGACCTTTAGATAATTGTCCATCATTAACAGGTATTCCTCATAATATTTTGGCATTTCTGGCATCAAAATATTTTGATATTTTGGAAATTCAATCGGTACACCAGAGACCTATGAATTTTCATATACAGGGTCCTGTTATTGGGATCGAATGTGTAAAAGATTATTTGCTCAAAACTCTTAAGAAATAAGAATATTATTTGGATGCCGTTTGCTTACAATTCTAATAAAAATCTTGTATATTTTGGTATCTAAATGGAGGAGGGGGCTCCTCCTCATGCTCCTCTGTAGATATTTATAGAGGTTAAGTTTCCAAAAAATAAACTAATGATTTCTGCAACGATTCATTTCAAATAATATTCAGGGAATTGCAGCGTGTACACACTGAAATGGCGTAGTTTACTTTAGATGAATGTTAAGTAGGAGTGCTAGCATAGTTTACAACATGTAGAGTAGATGGCGCCACTGAGAAACTTGCTCTCTGTGTAATGCTCGCTGCTCCACATAATCATCTGTGGGCTCACTGTCATAGAACTTGGAAAATATTTAGAAAATGAGAAAACTATACAATTTAAGTAATTATTCCAAAAGTATAAATCTTTTCTGAAATATCATTGTATCTTCTGTTAATTTTCCTCCACAGAAAATGGGGTTTTTCTTACATTTTCTGTAATATTTATTTCCCCTGGATAAGCCCATCATTTGATTTCCATTCCTCTCACCTTTTCTAAAAGTGGATCCCCAAAGTAGCCACGTGCAAGTAAAACTTGATGCTAATGTGATCGTTTATTTAAAATTTCAATGAATTTTAATTTCCGTGTGTTAATTTTAATGCCTTGCGCATTTTTGGGCATTTTCCGTGTCTATTTTCCTGCTATGCACTCGCTATAAGTCCATTGTAGAGCGGAAAACGCCCCTCAGTAGACCAAAAATCAATTAAAAATAATAACAAACATCGGGGCTAATGTTGTTGGCCATTTTCGCTAAGTAACGGCCCGGGGAATGAAAATGGAAAATTCACAAAACAATTGCAAATCGGAGCGGGGCGGAGAGGAGTGGAGTGGAGCCTATGAAAAAGGCTGGAAAAATGAATCTGCGTGGAAGCGACAGCACTAATCCATGAAGATTTTGTATTCCGAAACAAAGAGCGGGAGCGGAAGAATGTGGGGGATAGAAATAATTAAATAAATTGCATGATTTTTAATAATTTAGAGAACTGCAAGCTCATGGTGCAAATCGGGCGAGAATCTCTGTAATTAGCATAAAATTTGACTAGCTGGAGGGCTGGTCGAAAGGGGGCATGGCAGGTCATGGGTCGGGGTGGGGTGGGGTGGAAGGCCAACAGCAGAGAACCCAACGGTTCGGATGGAGGGCAATACCAAAACTGCATTTGCATTTCCGCCATGAAAGTCAATAATATTATTAAAATATTCCAACATAAATTAGGTATCTTTTTCAGGGGATTTTCGGTAGGGAATATTAATATTTAAGTGTGGGCTATATGTTGATTTTCGGGATACTGTTTAAAGGGAAAGGAATCACCAATTATTTCCCAATCAGAATCGGATCTTTGTAGAGTGACTAGGAGGAGGATATGGCAGCCTAAAGGGGTGTCCTTGGAGCTAAGTAGGAAGGGAGTTTCTCTGAATGTTCTCTGAAGGGAGGAAGGAGGTGGAAATACCTCTCAGTGCCACTAGTTAAGGCGTTTATCAGTCACAATATAAGCCCAGTCTAATGCGGATAAATTCAATGTCTCATAATGCACTTCTTAGGGCTTTAGGCAGCTCCCTTAAAATGCCTTCGAGTCCCCTTCTCTCGGCTGTCGACAGTCAGGAAGGCTTCAAGCACCACACGCTACTCGTTGGTATGAAAGCAACGAGTATATAACGTTCTTTATCCCATAAAGATTACAGGTTCTTCATTAGCAAAACCTAAAGATCAGCTTCAAGTCCCCCAGCAAACAGAGCATAAATCCCAGTACCGACAGTCTCCATTGTTCTGACTTTTTCCTGTTGTTGCAGCTACTAGTCGTTAAAGTAAATTAACAGCTCTCTCTCTCTCTCTCCCACTCTCTGGCCAGCCCTGAAAGTAGTTCCTTTTGTGGAGCCCCAACCCCCACCCTTTCAAGTGCATCGAGTGGGCCGGAGTGTGCGTGCCAGTCCTTCGAGTTATGATTCGATGCTTATGGCATGTAGCCATGTTGCCCCATCCATCTGTGCGGGGCATGCATGTACGAGTGTGTACGTGTGTGGCATCCTTGGCCGCTTGTCGGGAATCGGTGTTAATGCCACTAATTGACTTGCCGCGTGTTTGCCTGAATGCCGATTGCGGATAGGGCCTTATTAGCCGTCAATTTCAATCCCTCTAATATTTAGCTTGGCCCTTGTGGACCCTGTTTAACTGCCTTCAACTAATACCAGGCATTAATTCAAGGCTTTCCTTCGTTTAGGTATCGATGGCTCAAAAGCTGCATAATTTATTATGTAGGAGGAGCTTCACCAGCACCGGCAGCAGTAACCTGAACCGAACAAAAATTTCAAAGGTCGTTGCTCAGCCATTTTATGGCCTAGAAGAAATGGTTCTGGTCCGCACCGCAGCCTCCGAGCCTCCGACAGCTTCTGGTTTTTGTAAAAGGCAATGCCTGTTCCCCTGTCAAACGCTTCGTTGGTCCTTCAGGCGTTGAAAGTTGGTGCTCTTCCATGCCGACACCTTTCCCGGGGACTTAACGGGGCATTACGGTCGAAGAATGCCAGAATGTCTGCCCAGGAAGCACAGAGAATGCGAAAAACACAACCAAGGATCATTAGGCAGTGTCAACAAGCGGATTGCCTGATTGGCCAACATCCAAAATTGATGGAAAATTCATGGAAAACGCATTGAAAACTCATGGAAAAGAGCAACCCATTCGTTGTGGTATTTTTGTTTTGTTTTGGGGCTTTATTGATTTTTAAAAAAGTATTCTTAAATGCTAACTACTAACAAATTGTCCATTAACTAACGTAAATTTAATTAACCCTTTTATTTTTTGTTTTTTTTGTTGTTTTTCGTTTTTGTTGTTGTTGCATATGACTCATAATTTAATACATATTACAATATTATTATATTCAATATTTTTGTGTGTTCCGTTTCTGTTTTGGATTCCGTTGTTGTTGTTGTTGTTTCTTTTCGGGGATAGAATCTATCTAGTGTATTGGCTAGTAAATGCAGAAATATGAAATTTGTTTGATCAACACTCGTTTTCTGTTTTTTCAGTTTTTCTGTTTTTTGGGTAATTAAATTTATGTTTAATTGTAGTTTAATTAGTCTATTAGTTGGTTTTCGCTTTAATTGCCTTGAATTTAATTTAATCATACAATTACAGAATTTAATATGTACAAAATTATGTTACATTCACCCAGTTTTTTTTCCCCCCCCTCATTTAGTTTTTGAAATTCCAGCCAAAAGTTGCATCCGTTTTTTCCCCCTTTGTTCCGGAAACTTTTGCGGCCACGTGTGGGTGTCCGCCGGTGTGGGCTCCGTGGCACCGACAGCTTCAGGTGCTACCTGGTAGGCAATCGGACACGTTCCCCAAACGGTGGCACCGCAAAGTTGCACTGTTTCCCCGGCGTACGGCGGGGGTCTGGTTTTCGGTTCGACTTACGTGCTAGAGAGCCCACGCCGTATTTATACAGGGTCTTTAACTAGTATTTTTCAAGTTTTATAAACTCTTTTAGTAGGCTTAATATACTTATATATTCGTAGTGTTTTTCGCTTGAATTTCTTTGATTTCTTAGTTGGTTCGATAGAAAATCATTGAGAAGAATAAGGAAGGAATGTACAGAGAGGAAGATACAGGACAGAGGGACCTAAACAGATATCCCAAGGGTTGAAATAAAGTCAAGACAGAAGAGGGTAGAACCTTGAAGAAAGTTATATAGGTTCTACTAAAAATTGGCCCATAGAATTACCCAGAATTGTAAATGCAATACAAGTTGGTCCTTAAAGTGGAAGAGTCTGAAAGATAGGCCATTCAGTAGTGGTATTTATTATAATCATAGTGCTTCCAAGAAGTAAATCGAAATGAGGGAAAGAAGTATACTTTTAGTAGGAATAGAAATCGGATGTACACCCTTCTATAGCTTATTCGTTAGAACAGTTATCAGCTTATATTAGTCTTAAATTCCACAGTTAAACCACAAATATATCCGTTTATATATATATATAATACATTCAATTGTAATCCTAGCCAGACACACGAATACACAAAAACATATTTTCGGTTGGAGAGTGTGCTCTCCCCTCGCCACCCCCTCCTGCCGGATAATGGCATGGCATATGGCCATAATGCTTACAGCTGAAACATCGGTTTAACTACAACTTAACTATTTATTTTTATAATACAACTTTGTCGGCATCGGGCTTGGGGCAGCCACCGCCGGGCCCGGCACCGCTGCCCGTTGCAACCACAGCGAGGACACCGCTGTCCGCCGGCAAGGATACTGCTCCTCCTGCAGCTGCTGCCGCTGCTCCTTTTGATGATGATGTTGGTGGTGGTGTTGCTGCTGCTGCTGCCCCGTCCGTGGGGGGCTGCTTGGCTTTCGCCTTATCGTGCACGTACATGGCGGCGAGCGCATTGAAACGTGGACCCCAATTTTGTAAATAGTTAAAGTCTTGATTCTCATCATCAGTGCCTGCAGAACAGAGGGAACAAGAGCTGCATTAGAGGTCTCCTTATGGAGGGGCAGGGGCAGGGGCAGGGGCACGCGGTACCTGAGGCCAACGAGCTGAGGGACTCTGCTATGCTGCCACTCCCCTCGAAGGTGAAATTCCGCAGGTCATCGAAGGGCGGGGCATTGGGATCCTTGTCGATGCGCTGCTTCCGCTCCTCCATCAGATAGGCCACATTCAGCTCCTGGCCGGGCGGCAGCAGTGTCATCACAGGATCTACACCCAAGACAAACATTACCACAATTACTGGGGCACTTCCCACACGAGGGCACATGTGCCACACGACGACACACGCCACACGCCACATCGCGGCTGTTTACTCACAGATGATGGGCATCTTGCAGGCGGCAATGTCCGGCGGCATGGAGCCGCCACCTTGGGCGCTGATTGGTATTTGCAGTGGCGTTATATCGAAGGCCGTCATATCATCCTCGCCGCCGCCCTCGTCCTCGTAGCTGATTACCGTTTCGCGCACATCCTTCTCCGGTCCAGAGCGCTTCTTCTTTTTGGTCGTTTTTCGTTTCCGAGAGTACAGTACAAAGATCAGGGCCAGAACTGAAAGCAAACGAAACATTATTTAATATTACGTGTTTTCATAAGTGCATGCGAGAGGTGCAACAATTTATAAGTATATCAATTGCAAGTATTTTTTTTGGTTTATTCTGAGATAAGCTCTACAAAATTGTTCCCAGTGTTCCCTTCCGTTGCCCTCTTTACAGTTTTCCGCTTTTTATTGTCCCCTGCCTCTAGCATTGCGAGTGAGAGAGTGGGTGGGGAGAGCAACGACTCGCTCAGAGAGGATCAAAAGGGTCTAGAGGAAGAGAGCGCGCGTTGAGCGTATGTATGTAGAAAAAAGAAACGACACAGCGCGCTGCAGCGGAACAAAAAAAAAACAATTTATGCAAAAAAAATATGTTTATCCACATATGTAAATAGCACATACATATGTACATACTTAAATATATACACATTTGTATATCAGAAATTTCTGCACTTTTCCTTCTTAGATCAGCATTTCTGCCGCCATTTTGCCTCCTTCTGCGCCCCCGCCCTTTTCCAAACCCTTTTCTTGCGCTAAAACACATTTAATTTGTACATTTATATATGCACTGCACTGAACTTCATTTCACACACCTGCTCGACATTTTTCCCGATGGATTTCCACCATTTTCCGCATTTTCTCGAATTTAAGCGCGGAGCCAACATACAGAACGCGCGCTTTGCCGACGGTAAAATGAAAGTGAGAGCGCTATAAATGCGTTTTTTCTTTGATCTCCTGCTTCTATTCCTTATTGCTCTCTCTCTCTCTCTCTTACTCTCTCTCCAGCTTCTTTTGCAAAAACGAAACGAAAAAAAAGCTTGGACAACTAAAATAACAGATTTTAGATTTTTAAACTTCTTTCTCTGCTACTGCAAGGAGAGATCATTTAATTTAATAAAACTAAGTCATTTCACCATACGCTGCACCTTCACCGCGCACTGTAAATCACTCACTAGTCTCACCATCTCACTCCCACTCTCACACTCTTTTGATCACTCTTTTCAGTAGCAGAGGCAAACGACAAGGAGCATGTTGAAATTATTAAAGGTGCTTCGCTAGCTCTGTTCGGGTCTATTTACGCTCCGCACAACTGAGAGCGATTGCTTGGCGAGAGAGAGAGAGAGAAACACCAAGCTTGCTGTTGCGCTGAGCAAAAGGTGTCGTGAGAAGAGAGCGCGTTGCTGCCGAGCGTGGGTGGAGAGAGGACAATTAGGAAGAGTAGCAGTCAAGGGCGTACCCATGTGCCAGAAGGGGGATCGCTGGTCGCCCCTTCAGCATACATATTATTGGAAAACATATGCAAATTTAAATATAAAGGTTTGTGCTGCCCTCATCCAATCTTCCTAAATGCATGTAATATCATCATCTAACGCGTAACAATCACGGGCCCCCTTTGCGAAATACTGGGTACGCCCTTGGCAGCAGAATGAGAGATCAAAGAATGAACGCATTTGCAGCGCTCTCACTCAAATTTTTTCAACCGGTCAAAGCGCGCGTTCTGTAAGTCGGCTCCGCGTTTAAATTCGAGAAAATTCGGAAAATGGTGAAAATCCATCGGGAAAAATGTCGCGCTGGTGTGTGAAATGAAGTTCAGTGCAGTGCATATATAAATGTACAAAATAAATGTGTTTTAGTGCAAGAAAAGTGTTTGGAAAAGGGCGGGGGCGCAGAAGGAGGCAAAATGGCGGCAAAAATGCAAATCTACGAAGGAAAAGTGCAAAAAATATGTATTTTATATGTGCAATGTTTGATATATATGTATGTATGTTGTTAAACATAATACTTTTGCTTAAATTCGTTTTTTTTTTATGTGTAAAAATCTGGAATGTGTTTTTTCCTTGTCTCGCCTTTTTTTTTCGCTGGATCACATGAGTTCTAGCAATGTGTGTGTGTTTGTGTGCGTGCTTGAAAAATCGTCAAGTTTCGTCCCTTTCCCACTCCCTTCAATGGAGAGTAGTAGTGGGATGCAGTGAAGAAGAGAATCAAAAAGGAGAGAGTGCTCTCGTTCCAAGTGAAGTTTGATGAAAGGGTGAGGCATTACCAATAGTGCTGATCTGACTCTCTCTTGCTTGGTGTATTCACACGAACTTCCGCCCACTAACGCCTCACCTTAAATAAATATGCTTAAAAATTGTGCTCTTATTGGAAATCATTTTGTGCGTTTCGTGCGTTTATGGGTAAGTGAGAAAAGAAACGACCCCTGTACTTAAATATAATAATACAGAGAATATCCATCTCTTATTCCCACTTGCAACTTGCACTTTGAAATCTCTACCTGCAGTAAAAGTATCTTTCCATTTAATAACTATCGTGCTCTTTACAGTTCTCATTTAATTTACATTATCTACTCTCCGCCAACCTTCCTGTCTGCTCCTCATTAAAGTCTCTCTATTTTTCTTTCCAACGTTGCTGCTTTCGGAAAAAAGAGGAGCAAAAAGTGTGAAGCAAATACCCAGTACAGTGGGTACTGCTGCTGTGACTGGCAGTCCGTGTTGGGGGTGTCTGTTAACTGTCAGCCCCATAACAACAACTCCATTTACATTTAATGAAGGTAATTAAATGTAGGGAAAAATGTTATTCTTTTTGCCGTTTCCTGCATTTGCACACTTACAGAATGGAGAGGGAGGAGGGAGGAGGGTGGAGAGCAGGTTCTAAACTGATAAATATGAGAGGGAACGCATTTAATTGGTCTCCAGTTCGTGATGTAATTAATATTTTGTTGATGTTTTTGGTGTTTTTGGACATTATGAAATGTACATTTCTGTGTAATTGGCTGTGAGAAATAGCTTTACTCAAAGGAAAATCACAGCAAAGCTCCTTCAACAATTCCAAGAATTAAGCTTAAAAAAATACTAGTATTTTAGTTTTAAAAAATGAACTTTGTTGCATAAGTTTTTGTCGTTTTTGGGGATCGTCGGTTGGCAGTTATTTGGCAACTAATGAATCCAGTCTTAGCCTTTTAGCCTCGAAGAAATGTGGTACGAAAAAGCAACATCCTGTCATTTGAGACAGAGTTTTAATTATTTTTACTTGGCTGTTTGCTTAACCCCACAGTGCCAGAGCCAGAGCCAGAGCCAAGTTAATATTCCTGTCAACTGAAGCGCAAATGATAAAATGCATGTCGACTCGAGAGAACAGAACCCAAGCCCCAAAACCGTCTTTCCTGCCCCCCACTCGCTTTCTTTTTTTGGTCCTGTTTACACGACAAACACAGAGAGTGATGGTTCAAGAGACCCAGTTCAGAGGATTCGCAGTCCCGAGAATATGTTCCAGTGGCTGGAGCCGAGAGAAACTTATTAATAACTTTATGCTACTTAAGGAAACTCAAGGAAAAAGGCAAGCCGAGAGCCAAAGAGAGAGAGAGCTGAGGGCAGAACTTAACAAGTTTTCATGGTGGAACGACTTGAAGTTGGACTTCTGGCAGCACTAGAAATGTGCATTTGGAATGTGGAATGTGGAATGTCGAATGTTTTTGGCCTGTAAGCGTAATCCGCTTAGATGGCAAATGGCTGTCAATGGGGGTGTGGCCGTGCGCCCCTCTCGACTCGTTTTTGTCTTGGCCACTTCGGAGCCCGAGGCGTTTCCCTTGGGGCGCTTCTGTCGTCCCAAGTTTAATGCAACAATTACAACATAAAGTTGCAACACGCCCGGAAAACCCCAAAAACCGAAAATAGTTCATTGCCAGTTCTTGGCCGTGAAGCTTGAAGTGCATTAAATTGTGTCCTCCCACCGCAGAAAGGAGCGACAAAACTTTCTAAATTATCTTGCCACACAAGTTTTGCTTTTAATGGGGGGGGTTCCCCTCCCCCTCCCCACCAGCCCCATCAATGATTCGCCTTAAAAGCGAGGGGGGGGGTGGAGCCAAAGCCAAAGGCTGACCAAATCTGTTTGGAAAGTTATGCGAATCGAAGGAATGTCATTCTTTGGGATTAATTATAAGTTGAATCCGTTTTTAATTAGTTAAGAAATAACCGAACAGAAGCTGCCGAAGGGAGTTGGAAAAATATTCTTGAAATTTAATTAAATCTCTGACTCTCTCTCCCTCTCTCTTCCAGTGCGGCTTGGCAGGGGAGGGTGAGTTTTACACAAAAACAAAGATACAAATGTATTTACTCTTTTTACAACACATATGCGATAATCCCAGCTTTTATTTGCTCAATAAATAAAACCTAATGTCCTTCCAATGCCATTAAATCTAATTTAATTCCATTGCAAACAATACCCACAAAAATTCAAAGCATTAAATTATTCAAAATATCCAATTTTTGTGGCAAATTAAAAAGGGGACTTCCCTTGGCCCCAAAAACCGATTTTAATGGCTGATTCCCTTGCACAAATTTCACAATATTCTTTTTTTTGGTAAGCGGGCCAGGGCCAACTGTTCATTCATCAACCTTTAATCAACATTAGAGATACCCACAAGCCGAAAAACTACATATAAAAAAACAAAAACAAAAGCCAAAAGGCAAGAATATCCTGTACTGAACAGGAACAAAAGCGGAAAGGAGAGCTCTTTAACAGCCTTTGTTTGCCCTCAACTATGGAGCCACGGACGGAGCCAAGGAATGCAGGGAATACTCGTATCTTGAACCCTGAACCTGCTGACCAGGCCGGTGGGAGCGGGGAGGGGGGAGGGGGCGGGGGCTCATCAAAAGTGCCATCGGGATGGGTTTTGTGCAAACAAGCAGGTTTTTGTAGTGGCTCTTCCACTTGAAACTTTATGCTAAAGTACAGTTCAGCGATTCACAGATTACACGGCTGCAGGAACGGGAGAAGAGCAGGGAGCAAAGTACACGGGGTGACAGGCGGACAGGAGGACAGAAGGACAGGCGGACAGGACATGAAAAAGCGTTGACTGTAAATAATGTTGGATAATTATTTAGTTTGTTTTTCATCTTCACGCCACTTAAAGGCACGAAATGGGAATTCAACAACAACAAAGAACCAAGAAAGCAAGCCACGACTTTGAGAAGTGAAACTTGCGATACCCTGGGAGAACTATGGGAACTATGGACCCCAGAAATCATCCGAAAGACTGATAGATAGGTAGAGAGAGGCGTTCCGGGCTGTGACTGCAAAAGGGCTCCTATTACCCTCTCGAAGGAATTTATGGTTTGGGTTCTTGAAAAATTTTGCACATCATAAAGCGGACAAGTGGGGGGAAAAGTCCAGAGAACAGAGTGGAGAGTGGAGAGTGGAGTGTATTTTTGTGCCTCGTCGCTTATTTATTGCGCCTATTTTGCGGTTTAGCGGTTTTATGGCCACTCCCTGGCATCGCCCATTGTTTGCGGAGCATCTTCTGGTGGGCCCCGCAGGCAACTGGATAATTATCTGGCTTAGCAGCGTCTAATTAGCTTAAGGTTCCGCTTTTGTTACACTGCAATTTCAGAGCAGGACTACGTTTTGGACCCATTAGAGTGGGGCCCGGGCACAGGCACAGGCACAGGCACAGGGATACGGATAAATCAGCGTCACTTTTAAATATGGCCAAAAATAAATTGCCTACAGCGGGGCACAGATCGGGTGAGTAGGGTAGGGGACGGGGGGGAATGTACGCGCTAATTGAAAATCCTTTCAAATCCCAGACGAGCCGGCGAAACGAAAATAGATTGTCGCGCAATGCGTACGAGAAAACGCATTTGCATGGCCAAAACGAGAAGAGAGAAGGGGAGAGGGGGAGAGGAGAGCGGCCCAGAGAGCGGCCTGGACTGGAGCAAAGCTGAAAAACAGAAAAACCAAAAAATAACCAAATGGCCAAAGCCACTTAACACTCGTTCGGGAAATCCATTAAGTGCCAGAATTTTGTTGAAATTTTATTCTATTTTTTTCTGTGTGTGTGTGTTTTGAAAAAGTAAGCAATAAAATGGCGCAAATTGGCTTAGGCAGGGGTTATAAATGGCCAAAATGGCAGCGCCCACTGGCCAAAGACCCAAAGCGTGGAATCCGATTGCGAATTGGGAATTAACTGGAGGGAAAGTCCCAGGAAGTGGAGAAAATATTTCATAGGTTTTTCTTGAATTTTATTAATCTGTGGAAAAGTCTTTTAAGTGATTTTAATATATATTTATTTCTTCCTCTGCCAAGAAGTGGAATTTTTAACAATATTTATCTATATATTTCCCTGAAATATAAGAGAGTATTTGTATCTTCTTGAAGCTACGAGTCGCTTGCCATTTTTTCGCTTAAATTAAAAGATAAAACACAGTGTAAAAGCTTCAGCCATTTCTCTGGCATTAATTAGCCGCTAAAAAATATGTTCACCCCATTTATTTTTAAGCTAATCCAACAAATTGCCCTTGTCTGAAAGCAGCAAAAAAATAGTCGCCTCTGCTGGCACTTTGTGTTGCTGAAAATGCAAGGGGTCCCGGCCACGTAACCCTCGTTAGAGAGAGAGAGAGGGAGAGGTCCTTCTTCCATATGCATACACAGACCCAGCCGACGACTGTCCAAACAGATGTCAGTGTCGTAGGGGGTTTTGCACATTCATGTGAGTGTTTTTTTTTTGTGTGGAGCCTCTGGAACCCACTGAAAATTGCATTAGCATGGGGAGAGCAGAAACACGGCCAAAGAACAGTCGAATGGCAGGACAGTCGCTCGCTGGGGGACCAAGAAGGCCCGCTGTTTAAGCCGCTTAATTGACACACACACGAACGGGGAAATTTGGAAGCCGCTTTGCGCCGCCAAGAAGAAGGGAGAGCCCCACAATTGTGGCCACATTTCGTACTTACTCAATATGATAATCAGGCAAACGAATATGGCGCCGAGGGCCCCCATGCTTAGCTTCAGGCGCTGGCCCTCCTGCACCAGCTCGCAGTTCTCGCCCCAGTAGCCCTCCGGGCAGATGCAGCGATACCGCAGACGGGGCTCCAGATTGATGCACGTGGCCCCATTGAGGCAGGGCAGATCCAGGCATTCGTTGCGATCGACACAGCCCTTGGTGTCCGACGACATGATGCGTCCCTCGCTGCAACTGAAATGGAAAGAGGCACGGGGGATTAGGACTTTGGAGGCGATTACTGGAAGCTGGAACATGGTACCCTGTAGAGGCAGGGCACGGAGGAAGGATTGGGCTTGTGGGGGAAGATGGAACTGAGAGCCTAGATCCCCTAGGATGAAGAGTATCCCCCGGCTGGTCGCTGGGCTCCAACTTTTTTGCAGCCAAAGTTGTGTGGCCCACTGCGAAGGGCGGCGAAGGGCGTGAAGTGGTGGTCCCAGGGGGGGAGAGAGGGTGAAAATTTAAAGCTTAAATTTCTAGAATTTAAGCCCGGGGCATTCCCTGTGGTCGCCACGTCTTGGTGTCTCCGACTGACACAATTTCCAGAGGCATTGCGTTCACGGCTGCGGGCCCCACAACTGGCAGTGGAATTGGGGCTAAAGTAAGCATAATTTATGACACGTCGACACCTGAAGGGGGCGGCAGCTAGAAACCTGGGCCACTATTTAAATTTATTTAAAAAATGGTGCAAGGCAAACACGTGTCGGGGAAATCATACCAGGCCCCCAGATGTTTCTGTTCCCGAAAGCAAATGGAGCGAGAATGGAGCTTACTCTGCGGGGGCCTTGCGGGGGCCGTGCGGGGGGTGGCTGCTGGTGCTCTGGCAGTGAAGGTCCTGTGCGGTTGCGGAGGACAGGACACCGACAGCGACACCGACAGCGACATGATGCAGTGCCAGATTGGGTGGAGGCAGGAGGTGGGACTGGATGATGGAGTCACTCTCTGCAGAACTAATGATGTGGAAAATGTGCTCGGCAGAGAGCAGCAGAGAGCCCATCATCGATGAGGTGTTGCAGATGGCAGCAGCTAGAAACCTTAGGATCAAGGGGCATGCCCCAGATACCAGATACCAGATATATGTATGTACGGCTTCCTGCGGCGTCTGGCAGGGCCCGAGAGGACATGTGATGACAATTGATATTATTTGTTTTGCATTCGGAGTCAATTTGCTGTTTGCCATTGTCGGGTAGAGAGTGGAGACTGGCAGGAGGGGTTTTTCCACCCCCCCACCCACAAATCGATGTCCTGCCTTAATGGGAAATGGTAAAAGGAAACTGTGGAGCACTGCTCGCAGTTGTAGCTGCTGTTTGGAGGACGAAAGCACCTTTGACAAAAGTTATAATTTGTTTCCTTCCGCCTGGACTCTCATTCAATTAATCATATTGCCCCTTCGGTGTCTCGTTTCAAAGGAAAAGTTCTAGTAATTAGCTGGGAAAAACCATAAATTCCTCAACACTGGCAATTCAATTTAATTAGCCCCACAGGAGGGCAGGGGGGGTACTCACGTGCACTCGTATTCGTTCCACAAATCGACACAGTCAAAGGGATCCGGGCAGATGACATTGGAACAGGGCCTGTTCGAGGGACAGTTGCGGTCCAGATTGCGGGCCATCGTCGCCTGGCCCCACTGAGTGCCGTTCATGGCGGGCGGCAGGGGCAGGTGTTTGCCGTCCAATCTGCAAAACAGGAGAGTGAAAAATATGCATGAGTTACACGAAAACCCAGGCACAAGCCCGGGCCCAAGCAGCACTTATCAGCAATCGAGGAGGAAAACAAGAAGCAATGATGGAACGAAGACGGGAATACCCTCATTGGATGGGTATTTCGATGGGAAAAGGTATCAATTATATGGTATTTGGTGCTTAAAAGTGGCCTGGAGAGATTGATCCATTGATTCCTTCTCCAAGATCATGCCTCTGTCACACAATGGCCCCTAATGGGTCCTTTTCCAGCGCTTCAGACTGCCTGCTGTTAAGGGCAACCCCTCTTCGTAATACCCTTCTGCTGGCCCAAAGATTAGGCCTCAATTTTGGGGTCGTCTCACCTGATGTCATCGAGGCAGCTCCTTTGAAAATCGGACTGGACCTCAAAGGTCTTGACGCCCGTGTACTCGGCCTTGCCGCCCGCATAGACGCCCTCCTGCTTGTCGATGCTCAGCCACTGGTGGCCGGTGTAGTGGAAGGACTCGTTGTAGCGCCGGGACTCGCCGCCGTCGAGCTCCATGAGGGCCGCCGAGCCGTAGCGGCTAATGCGAATCACATGCCACTGTCCGTCGTTGACGGCGATGGCCGTGAGGGCCAGCAGCTGCTCCTCGTTCCGCAGCGAGTTCAGGTTGTAGCGGAACTGCAGCTGGCCCCGGCGCAGCTCCAGGATGGCGTACTCGCGGTGGTGCTGATCGCTGACGCGGAACAGCTCGCCGCCCTGCTCCCGCGTGCGGAAGCGCAGCTGCAGCTGCGTGCTGAAGCGGTCCGGCTCGAAGCTGAGGGCGAACTTCACGTAGCTCTGGGCCTTGAAGGTGGTCGGGATGGTGGGCACGTTGCAGCCGGGCCCCATCCAGCCGGGCTGGCAGTGGCACTTGGCCTGCACCAGGCTGGCCACGCAGTTGCCGTGCTCCCAGCAGCGGGCCGTGTGCTCGGTCTTCAGGCAGACCTCGTCCGTCTGCGGGCAGGCGGGGAAGCTGTTGCGGGCCAGCGCCGGGAAGGCCAGGTCGTAGTGCTCCGAGTTGTGCACCACGTTGCGTATGCAGCCGTCGAAGCCCTTGGAGCTGAACGCGTACTGCCAGTTGTAGAGCGTCTGGTCGAAGTGCTGCCGGTAGAGGCCGCCCAGCTGCAGCGGCTGGTTGAGGTTCAGGGCCTCGGCGAACGGCGGTATCTGGCCGCGGGCCTGGCAGGCGTTGTCGTCGAACTCCGGCGGACTGCCGTCCTCCATCTCCGACACCAGGGCCGTGCGGCAGAAGTCCACCACCATCCGGACGTTCTCCGCATCCCAGAAGACGTCCAGGCGGTGCCAGACCCCGTCGTCGAGGGTCTTCTTGGTCTTCACCCGCAGCTCCAGGGTCCCAGAGCCGAAGTCGATCAGCAGCCGGGGGTAGCCCTGCTCCAGCTCGATGGCCACGAAGTCGCTGATCACCGTCTCGCCGGGCTTGGGCGGCACTATGGGCCCGTTGTAGAGTATCAGGCCGTCGCCCTCGCGCGTTATGAACTCCAGGCTCAGGTGCGACTCCGAGCAGAGCTGCAGCGGCGGATACCAGGCCCAGCCGTTGCCCCGAAAGCTCCGCGTCGACTGCTGGCACCGCGGACCGCCGTAGCCCACGGGGCAGGCCACGCAGCGCGGCCCGTTGCGCGTCTCCACGCAGCGCCCGCCGTTGTAGCACAGATGCGAGCGGCAGTTGTGGTCCGTGCCGGTGAAGTTCCTGGCGCGACACCCGCACTGGGCACTGATCTCCAGCCGGACGCCCACGAGGGCCGTGCGGTTCACGCTCACCGTGTAGGGCTTCTTGCCCAGCTCCACCCTCGAGGAGCACGAGCCGGAGCCGCACTTGCCCCTGCCCTCGTGCAGGCACTCGTTGATGTTGACCATCGTGATGTTGAGGCCCACCTCCTGCTCGATCTCCTCGCGGTGCATCTGCACGACCCCGTTGAGCCGCACGGCCTTGAAGTACGGCTGCTGGGTGGCCGAGCGGGCGGCGAAGTGCACGTCCGTGAGCGGGTGGGGGGAGCCCTCCCGCAGCTGCACGCTGAACACGTCCACGTTGTCCCGATCGGTGTAGAGCAGCTCGGCCAGCTTGTTGCGGAATCGCTCCAGCTTCGAGGGCTCCACCTGCTGCTTCAGCGGGTTCCAGGTGCGCACGAAGTCCTCGTCGCTGAGGTGGGCCAGGCGCATGGAGCCGGCCTGCTGCACCGCCTCCGCCGTGATGTCCCGCACCGTGACACTCAGGTTGGCCGGAATGTCCTCCTGGCCGTGCTCCCTGTCGTACACCTTGAAGCGCAGCTGGTAGCGGCCCCGCCGCGTGCCCGATCGCATCGTCAGGATGCCCGTGTCCGTGTCCAGCTTGAACCGCTGGTGCTCCTGCACCTCCCAGTAGTACTTCTTGTCCGGCACGTCCCAGTCGTCCGGGTCGTTCACGTACACCCTGCCTATGGGCGTGTCCTGCGACTGTCCCTGGTAGTTGTAGACCAGCACGGACTTGCTGCCCGGCTGCATTTTGTTGTCGTTCACGTCGCCGATGGTCACGGTCAGCGTGCTCGTGCCGGTCATGGCCGGGGCTCCGTTGTCCTTGATCTCGATGGGTATGGCATAGGACTTCTGCGCCTCCCGATCGAAGGGCCGCAGCGAGGAGACGATGGCCACGCCGTTGCCATTGTCGCCTCCTGGAAAGGTGGATAGAACAAAGGATGATTAGATTTGTGTTGGTTTTGGTGCTACACAGTCCTTGCAGGGACCTCTTGCATCCTGATTTCCAAACAGTAACTGAATCTGCCCCAAAAGCTATAAAAGCAAGCAACTAGCAATTCAAAAACCCAAAACCCAACAGGAAAACCACATCAATGGGCTCCCCCTCTTCCTCCCTCTTTCCCCTTTTGGACACTTGATTCATTCAAGGCAATTGCCGCACAATCAAAGTCCGAATCAAACGCTAAACCAGACTCTGTTTGCATAGTAATGGTGATTGAATTATGTTTCAGACAATCAGCATCATCAGCAGCATTGTTTGTGCCACAAAGTTGGTAGCCAAAAAAGCAAGGAACAAGGAACCAGGAACAAGGAACCATAGAAAAAAGCCAACTGGATGAACAGGCATGTCGAAAGAGCAGAGCAGAGTAGAGAAAAGAACTGCAGGAGAACACTGCCTGCAGGAATCATCACTCTTGATGCAGTCGACCAAGGACCCAGGACCCAGGACTCAGACCCAGACCCAGACCAGGCCAGGCCTTTGTCTTCATTGCGTTTCTGTGGGTTGTCCCTTCGGTTAGTCCCAAGGTGGGACTTTGAAATGCTCTACAGTTGGGATGATTCCTTTTTTATGCACTTTAAAGGGAGGGAACTTTGACAGATTCGACAGACAGCCAATAAGTTGGACTGTAGATCTGTAGATACATAATTTTTGAAGGAGAATATTTTTCAAAAGGAAAGAGTGTCCGTTTAGGAATTGCTACCTTTTTCTTGAGTCTATTTCGGGCACATTTTCAATGTCTAATTAAAGAATAAATATATTTCTCTGGTCTATAAAACTTTTATGAAACAAAACTTAATCTTTTGTGTATTTAACTGTCACTAAATTGATAAATAGATCCTAAACACAATCGTATATATTTAGCCAAGCTGCGGCTTTCTTTTTTGACAAAAGTTTTTCCATTTTTAAAAAACTTATTCAGATTTTTGCCTAGGATAATGTCTTTGAAAACCAAATTTTATCCTGAAATCAAGGGCCAAATTATTCGTGCTATTAAAAGGAGAAAGGACTATAATATTTGGGGGATTTGACAATACTTCCGGTATCCAAAAAGAGAATACCCCTGATGTAATTACTGTATGTGGTACTTGCCATGAACACCCTGTGTTTTGAAGCACTTTTACAATGAAAATGAATTATCTAGATGTTCTGTTACAACCTTCTTATAACCCACACGTGTAATTTCTACCCAACAAATCATTAACCCTACTTTTCCCAATATAGAAGCTTAAATGTTGATAAATTCCCATAAGTGTATTCCCGCATCGACCTTTGCCGTACTCCTCCTCGAATACTTTTATTTGTGTTGCTTTTGGCCCTGTATTGCTCCGAAATTGCTCTAAACTTAGTTTGTAGCCATTGTTCAGGACTTGTTTGAAATGAGAGCCCCACAGAGAAACAACCAAATTGGTCCAAAGAGTCCCAAATAAAATCGAGAGAAAGAAAGAGGGAAAGATTTTGAGGTGTCACTCGACTGGCTGGCTGTCGCTGACATTGACAGTCGGTTTTTCCTTTTTTTCCCATCGAGGAGTGTTTTTTTGTTGCTGGTTGGCCAGCTTTGAATTTCAGGTCGCATTCTGGGCCTTTGTTTTGGGTCCCCCCTTTGGCTGGTGTTTTGTTTGGGGGCCATTGATGGGTTTTTATCTGCGATCTGGCGACCCCTGGCCGGGGTTGTGTCGAGTGTCCTTTGCGACAGAAATAAATAATTGATTTTGAAATGCCGAATTAATTATTCGGCCGCAAGCAAATAAATATTCGAAAAAACATTAGAAGGCACTACTGTGCGGTGTACACGGATCCACAGAGATATTAATTTGCATAATTACTTGAATGAGATGCGTAATTAGTGCAAAACGCTCCCATCAGGTGCCTACTCGTACATTTTTAATCAGGCTAATGCATTAAATATGTTCGGCGTTTCCATTTGATGTAATATTCAAATGCCAGGACCCCTCTGGACCCCCCCTGGACTTGTGACAGATGCTTTTTTACTGCTTCATTAATTATGTTAAGTGTTTTGTCGCTAATTAAAAACTACAATAATTACGAGTATATACATACTCCGATCGTATTCCACCTTGAAGCCCGCTCGTATTTCGTCGCTGGCCAGGGGATCCAGGCGGAAGGTGAAGGGGCCGCCGTTGCCCCGCTGCCGATCGTCCGCGTCCTGGGCGGCCACCTCGACGATCTTCTTGCCGGAGACGTTCTCCGGCAGCGTGGGCCTGTAGTCCTGGGCAAAGGTCGGGGCATTGTCGTTGACGTCCTTCACGATCACCGTGAGCGTGGCGGTGGCCGTGCGCTCGGGACTGCCGTCGTCGACGGCCAGGACCTGGATGTGGTGCCTGTCGAGGGTCTCGCGGTCCAGGGGCCTCTGGATGCTGACGGCGCCCTTGTCGCTGATCGCAAACTGGCGCCGGCGGTTGGTGGCGCGCACTATCTTGTAGGAGACCCTCGAGTGGCCGCCCTGGTCCGCGTCGGTGGCCCGGAACTGCTCCAGCACCGTGCCCACCTTGGTGTCCTCGTAGATGGACACCTCGACGTGCTCCCGGTCGAACTTGGGCACATTGTCGTTGATGTCCCGCAGCTTGACCACCACCCAGGAGTAGGCCACGTGGTACTTGTCGCTGGCGCCGCCACTGGGCCCATCCTCGCCCTTGTCGTTCACCTGAATGCGGAACCGGAAGCCGCTGCTCTGCAGGGGGTCCTCGTAGTCGAGCGGCTGGATGATCTTCAGGGAGCCCGTGCCGTCCGCGTTGCGCACCATCGCGAACTTGTCGGAGCCGAAGCCGCTGTTCGGCACCACCTTGTACTGGAACGTGTTCGTCTCGTCCTCGTCCTGCACGGTGACGGTGAGGATGGGCGTCTCGGGTATGTAGGTGCCGTTCGTCTCGTCCACCTCCGTGAACCACTCGTCCTTGGTGAACTGCGGCGGCATATCGTTGAGGTCCTTGACGCGTATGGAGGCGGTGCCAGTGCCTGCAGGGAAGCCCCAACAGAATTGCGTCAATTACAGATACAGATACAGATACACTGTGCACTGTATGGTCGTGGCCCCACTCACCCTTCAGTCCGCCACCATCCATGGCCACCACCTGAATGGAATAGTCCGGGGTGCGCTCCCGGTCGAGGCAGCAGACGGCCGTCTTGATGACGCCCGTTTCGGTCTCGATTTCAAAGATGGGCGCGCCCGTCTCCTCCTCGATGACGTTCTTCTCAATCGAGTAGATTAGCTTCGCGTTGGTGCTCTCGTTGGGATCGTCGTAGTCAATGGCAGACATTGTCATCACCGCACTGCCGGCGGTGCCGTTCTCCGTCACGTTGCCGAAGTAAACGCCCTGCGGGAACTGGGGCGCATTGTCGTTGATGTCCTTGAGATTAACTTGGATGTCCGCATAGCCCACGAGTCCCTCGCCGCCCTCGTCCTGTGCGAATACGGTGAAGCGCCATTGTGGCCGTCCATTCGGTTGATCACGGTCCAGGGGCTATACAAAACAGAGAGAGAGAGAGAGAGAGAGAGAGAGGCGTTTGATTTGGCAGCTGTTTGTTTGTTTGCAAATTATTTTATGCCTGCCGGTAAACAGTAACTGACTGGAGACCCAGAGCTCCCCCCCAATCCCCAATCCGCAGTCCACAATCCACATTTCCGAAGCCCTTGAGTCCTTCAGTCTGTGGCTCTGGCTTTGATGGTGGCTTTGCCCCGACACCGGCCTGTTATTAGATTTCTCATCAAATTGCAGCCATGCCAATGACACACATAAAAGCCATCACATCAATTGAAATGTGAGCCAATCCAAGGCCCGTCTGGCCACCGCCTGGGCCTGCCTTTGCCCGCCCTTAAACCCGGCCTAGGCAGGCGAGTAAATGTTGAATTTATTCCCCTTGAAGTAAACGAAAGCTTAGCGACGAAAGGGAATATTTGATTGACCAAAAATGGAGGAGACCATGGATTTATTTGGCACTGAATGAGGAATATGAGTCCCTATTCTTGTGACTTTCTCTACCACATGTTTAATTTATTTAAAGTATTGGTAATCCCCCCCCCCCCCCCCCCCCGAGGATCCCCGATCCCCGATGAAATGGCAATCATTCGGATGTCGGTAAATAAACCTTAAACCATCGCTCAATTAAGGCGTGGGGCAAAAGAATTGGTTTCCCGCCACCATGTGGCACGCAATGCAATTCCAATTACAAAATTAAATGCCGTCATGCCGTAGCTGGCAAGTGGCAGCCCCAGTGACCCCAGTCCTGGTCCATTCCGGGGATGTGCCACCAACTTTTGCTGCTTTCCTGCTGATTTTATGGGAGGCGGCGACCGCGCACCAATAACGAACGACGAAACGTCATTTACATGTGGTCGGTTGTAGAGCGTCAAAACCACAAATGCCACATGCTGTCGCTCTCCCCCACGGCCCACAGCCCCCCACATCCCCCCACAGCCAGTCCCTAACCCATCGACAACTAAAAAACAAATAAAGCAAACCGCCAGCAGCAACATTTGAACATTTTATGCAGAATCGGCAACGGCAACGGCATCAGCCTTGGGGGGGTCAGGGGTCAGGGGTCAGCCAGTAGCCACTCCATTTCACCCATTCGCTGTGCCGTTGAATCGTTTGCTTTTATGGACTTTGTGTGAAATTAATTGGAGTCTGTGTGTCTGACAACCGACGGTGACAGTTTTTATGCATCTAAATGTCATTATTTTCCGGCGGTGGCGGGGCGGGGGCGGGGCTGGAGCGGGGCGCATAGGACGGTGTGCGGTTTGACACAGTTTTAAATTAATCATACGCCACCGAAACGAACGCCGCCCTCCCTGGAGGGATGGAGGCCGGGCAGGGCCCGATGATAGCAATCAAAGGCCGTCAAAAGTGTTAAAATATTGAAAACATTTCGCAGAGTTTTCCCGGTTATGAAACATTCAAAGGCGTGGCGTCTGGCCATATGGGTATTCGCTTTTGGCTTTTTGATACACGATTTCGAGGCTCTCAACCTCTCAACACCCACAAGTATTTGAGGCGCCCGTTTCCCCCTGGTTAGAGGAGCCCCCGTTTGGGGCTGCTCCACTCGTCACACAATATGAACTGCGCTCCATTGTTGGCCATAAACTGTGGCGCGATTGTCAGCAGCCAAAAGCGAGGGGCCCCCCATGGCTCGCATTTTTGGTGGCGGGATGGAGCGGAGCTCTCTCCTTGGCTTTCATTACGCTCCTTTTTACGAGGGGACCCTCGAAATTGGATTCTGTTTAAATGCTGAAAGGTGGGAAGGAGGGGGAAGTGGGGAGGGTGGCGGGAATGGCGGCACTTACCTTGAGTACAAAAATATCGCCCGTTGTGCGATTTATATCAAATTTACTATTCGCTGGATTGTCGGGGTCGATGCCCTGGCCAGTCAGGAAATATACAATATTTATTGGTCTATCTACATCGCCGTCGGTGGCGGTAACCTGGAAAGAAACAAAACGATTCGAGGGGGGGTCACAAAAAGTGCATTACCAGAATAAAGGGGGGTCTTATGGGGGTCAAGCGATTCCTCTGGTCTCTGGAAGTCTATAAATCAAATATGCAAATGAGCAAAACGCTTTAAATGTCCAATAAAGGGCAACCTGAAATGGAAAGCAAAAAAAAAGAAAGAAAAAGTGGTATTGGGGGATTTTCTCGGCGGAAAATCTGTTCAGTGGGCGTGCCCGGTGGCTTTTCTTTCCCGGCCAGATTGCTTGTAAATTTATGCTTCGATTTTTTTCCCTGTCCCGGCCACAGACGAAAAAAAATGCTAATACAACAGAGATTTATGTAATTATTCAATCGGATTGGGGCCATTTTTTGTGCATTGTTTTATTTGTATTTTCTTCGTTTTGCGGCTAGTAAATGAAATCAGCATTTTGGAGACTTTTTTCGGAATATTATCTGCCTTTTTTGGGGCATAGGCAAATTGTCGACTGGACTTTTGGTTGAGGGTCAGCGAAGGGGGGGTTTGGTAATTGAATGAAATCAAATGAATAGCAAAGCAGAAATAAAGGACATTTTTTGGGCAACTTAAATGAAAGAAAAACGTTGTGGAAACTCGATGTTTGCACAACTTTTACGGCCTTGAGACTTGAGTGAAGGGGATTTATAAATACGTGACTAGTTTTGCTTCTTGGGCATAAAGTTTGTGGGCCATGCATGCCCGATGGAAAAGCTCTATAAGCCCCCCTCGAATGCAGTCCCTTTTCCGTCTCGGAAGAGTGTCTCTAATCTCCATTTAACAACCAGAACAGGAACACCATGTGGGTGGCTTTGTTTTTCATCTTTGGGAAGCACTAGGAGTACTCCTCCTCCACCTCCCCCTCCCACCCCTCGAACAGTTGTCATGGCAATTAAAAGCAATTATTTCCGTGTATCTGCTTTGCTGTTATGCAGCCCATCTCGAGCTGTGGAAACAAAGTTATGCACGAGTCCTGTAGCCCATTTCTATTATACATTCCGACCATTTAAAAAACACACACAGAATACTCGTAGAGGAGAAGAGGAAAAAGGCCTCCTCCTGCTCGTGCATGGAGTTGCAGTTGACAATTACAGACAAACTTGTGGCAATATCCTTTTGGGTCCTCGGTCCATTATATCATCGTCACGTGTTAAGTGCCTCCCATTTCGCCCATTCCTCCCAGCCCATCCCGGCTCCCCCCTCCCCCACCACTGCCATTCAGAGTGCTACAATTTACGTTAAATGTTCAACACAATTTGATATGACAAAAGAGTTGTCTACGTGCCGGCATTGTGCCCATTATTATCGCCCGCTCGTTGGAGGCGGAAACGAGCCCTCGTCCTGCCATTGTCCTTTCAACAACTTTCTGGCGGCAACCATTTCTGTGCATCATTTAAATGCCTTTTTCTCGTGCCGTGTCCAGCATTAAAAATATTTGCATTCCATTTTCCAAGCACTGGAAATCAATTTGAGCACCGAAAAGGTGTCGCCAGCCTCTTCCGCCTTCTATGTGCTTCATTCGAGAATATTCCTCAATTATTGGGCGTACAATGACAATGGAATCCTCCTCCTGCTGCTCCTGGTGCTCCTGCTGCTGCCACACTTTTCCTTGCAACATGCAACATGCATAAATGTGTAATTAAAAATTCGCACTGGCTGGCGGTCGCGTGCTGAGCTGTGCAATTTTAATTTGTATTTAAAATTTCATACAAAAATAAGCAAAAACCCGACAGAGAAGGCCAAGGATGCGGCCCAGGGATGCTCTATAAAAGGAGGAGATTTGAGACAGTTTCTCCCAGTAATTCCAGGCTCCCAGTGGAGGGATACAAGACGGATAGATACTTGTTCTTTTCATCAGAAGCTTATGATAAATATCAAATTAAATCAATAAAAAACAGCAGCCATTATGCCAATCCATTTGATGTTTATCCTTTATCCTTTAGATATAGAACATTGTCACATGCTTACGCTCGTGTGGCATCTACAAGGCAATTTCTTTAATGCATGCGTTAAAGAGTATTTAAATGTTTATGGAGCCATAAACATGTTTCACTTTGCTCCTCGGCTCCTCCGTTCTTTATGTTTCGTAAATTATGGCTTGAATAAAAGTTGCTTGTTCGGAGATACATATACATATATACAGTATATATATACATATATATATGATGCATGCTTGTAGGTATTTGTGCCTATATGGCCGCCATTGCCCAACTATCACGTCGTTATTAATGAATGAGTATTTATTTGTATTTACGGCTGAATGGCTCCGCCACTCGGGCACAGAACTTTTACTCTCGCACCGTAATCCCCATGTTTTCACCAGACATTACCAGGGGGGGGGGGGGGGGGTTCCCGGACTCTGCTCTTTTCTGGGTGCCACTTGAGCACCGACTGCCACCGACTGGCGCTGCATGATGTTTGTTTTCCCTTTTTTTTTCCATTCTCCTTTTTTTACTTTTTAAGTTTTTGGCTTTTTATGCAAATTATCGGGTATTGTGTGTGTGGGCTGTTTTTTTTTCTTCAGTTCTTCAGCTCTTCCGCTGCTCTGCTCTTTTGTTGTTGTGTTGTTCTGCTGTTCTGGCTGTTTCTGTCAATATTTAAATTGTTCTGAGCCAATAAGGCGATAAATGTTGGCCAGAACACTCACTTTTGATTGAGTTTCACGAATTCACTTCGGGATGGGAAGGGATGCTAAGGATTGTATGGATAATGTAATCGAAAAATAAATGTGGATTATGAAAGTACTGATCAAAGAGCACATTTCGTGGAATATCTTCAATATTCAGCCATTAATCTTGTTTTATATAGCGCTAAATAGAGTTAAAAATTAATCAAATTATCGAAAAATACATCGATTTCTGTTCCAAATTTAAAATAATAATGAACAAAAAATAGGTTTATTTATTTAAATAAAAAATAAATAAAATAAAATTTAAATAAAATATTATTATTTATTATTTTTATTTATTATTACTATTTATAATAATTTATAAATTTATTTATAAATAATAATAATATATAATAAATATTAATAAATAATACTGATAGAAAATACTATTAAATAATAAATAATTATAAATTATTATATAAATAAATAGTAATAATAAAAAATACAAGAAAATAATAATAATAAGAAATAAATAATAATAATAAGAAATAAATAATAATAATAAGAAATAAACAATAATAATAAGAAATAAATAATAATAATAATAAGAAATAAATAATAATAATAAGAAATAAATAATAATAATAATAAATAATTTATATTAAATACAATTTGTGCCCATATATTTCTCTAAAAATAAATACATATATTTATGTTTAATAGAATCTCTCGCTAAACCCACCTGCAGTATGCGTTTTGGCAGATTACGATCGTCTTCTTCTGTGATTTGTGTTCGATATGTTTGACGATCGAATACCGGTGGATTATCGTTGACATCGCGCACGTTTATCACAACGGTGGTGTAGTTGTTTTTGCGATTTCTGGTGGCCTCCAAACGCAGTTCAAACTGAGAAACAGAAGGAATGGGAAATATTTTAAATCTTACAAAAGAAAAGACAATTATGATAGCTGACAGAACACCCAAAAAACATCAATGTTTTAGCGCTCTGTTTATCTGGGAGTCCTTTGTGTAAATACTTTTACCATTTCCTACTTAACCTGGCAAAAACATTTTAAATAGCGCCAATTTTATTATGAAATTCAATTATTTTAATTTAACGAAACTTTTAAAAGAGCAGCAAAGCCATCAGCTAAAGAGATTTATGTGGCCCAAACGTTTTTAATGCTGCTGCTGTTGATGCCACAGTGCAGCTGCCACTGCCTCCGAGCCTCTGTTGCCGCCGCTGTCGAGGCTCAATTTGAACAACAAAAGCCAAAATCGCATGAATGGACACTAAAACTTTTTCGCAAAGGATAAAACAAAAACACAAAAAATCTACGAAATTGGCAACACATGTTCTGTGTGCTGTGGCTTGTTGTTTTCGCTGCTGCTGTCTTCCTGCTGTTGGCACGGCGGCGCACAGTGGTGGCACCCAGTGGCAGCAGTGTGGCTGCTTGTTGCATGGCTGGGCATTGACAGCTACACGGATTTTCCCAGCACCGTTTGGCGGGGGTGGAGAGGGGGCGGGGGAAGGGGGGGCCAAAACACATTGCGTAGGTGATGACTGGGAGTCGGGGCAATCACGTTAAAAATGCGCATTGGGAAATGTAACGACAGCTGTCTCCTCTCCCTGCCCCCAGCCCCCAGCCCCCTGCCCCCCTCCACCGACTCCTGCCTGGCCAATGTTTTCCTGCATGTAAGCGAATTTTCCTTTTTTTTCTCTGTTTTGTTGGATTAATTTTTTGTAGCCTCCCCCCGCTCTCTGTGTCGTGTTTTCCTTCCCCGCTGCTCAACTGTCAAAAGTTTTGTGTGCCCAAAAAAAATATATATAAAAAAATAGAAGAAAAGTTTCGCATAGTTTTACATATTTTTTGTGTTCTTTGCGTAGAATCACTGGAGCGGAAAAATATATAAATTATGCATGCAACAGAAAGTTAAGACCCGGTACAAAAAAAACCCCCGCATATGTATGCGTATGAGGCAGAAAAAGAGGAAAATGTGCAGCAACTTGTAGACAAGGGCCTTAGCCGTGTCGCCAAGGGGAAGGGAGTGGGGGGGGGGGGGGGTACTTACCCTTGGCCGCGTTTCGTAGTCCAGGGGACTCGCCACATAGATGACACCGGTCGTGTTCTGCACGGCAAAGGCATTGCCTATGTTACCGCCTGTGATCTGGTATCGAATATTCGTCGCTGCAAAAGGTACGAGAAGAGAATTAATTTCATTTTTCCACTCGCTTGGCTAATTAAATTGCCGAGGCACAAATGCATTCAATTTAATTTAATTAAGAGCTCAAAGGGCGAATGCAAGAGGGTTAAGGTAATGCCCGACGGGGGAGTGGAAAATATGGCACTTAAATCTATCAAAAGGTGGGCTGAAAAGGCTTTAAGGCAGGCTCGAAAGATGGGGGAACTTTTATTCTATTCGTAAGTATTATTATCTAATGTTGTGTACCTTTCGGGAGGAGATCTCTGCACCCAGAACACTGTCTAAGAGCACTCCCTTGGCTATCATCAGTCACCAATTAGAGCACTTTCAGCCCCAAGTATGCGCCACACATTCGCCCGAAAAGCCTCCTCCCAGAAGATCAAAAAAGACGCCCAAAAGACGACAGTAGGCGGCAGAAAATAATTAAGTTCATTAAAAAACATTTTCCAACCAAAAGGAAACCAGAGACATGCCCCCTAATGCTGCCATGTGGCACGAAGAGGCAGAAAAACAACAACAACTCGTCTAATTTACTTATTCAATGTTTAAACAGCCTGCAAAAGTGTTGTCAACACTGGGGAGAATATGGAAATGCTCTCACATGTGACACATCCCAGACCCCAGACCCCAGACCGAGACCCAGACCCAGTCGCAGGGAGGAAATGGTGTTGCCACATTGTCTGTGCATTTATGCGGAAATGTGAGAGAGCAAACATTAGCGTAAATTAGCGACGCGTAAATCGCTTAACCTGCTTCACTAGACAACGGAGAGGAGTGTTCGCCAGATTAATGAAAATCAACTTTATTCCAACACAAACTCTTTAAACTTTTGAACGCTTTCTACGACAGATAGCTGGAGTTCTTCAGCAAGCCCCCTCCCAGCATTTGATCGTGTGTGAACTTGATGAACGTGTCGTATTGTGCCGTCAGCTGTTCGGTCAGCTGGCACTCGTAGTGCTCGCTCAGCTCCTCGTCCTTTTGATTGATCATGCGGCAGCACATGGCCTGCAACTGGTTGAACGTGAAAAGCTTCTGGTCGCCCTTGGCTGGACTCTGCTGAGGGGGAGGCCAATTGTATCTTAAAGATGTGCCCACTCAACAAAGTCTTACACTGGTCTCTGCCTGGGCTTCGATGCCAGACTTGCACTGCCGCTTGGCGGGATGGATGTCTGGCGCCTCGACATCCATGGCCTGCTTGCGCTTGGGTACTCCACGGCCAGTTTTGAGCCTTGGCGCTTTCTTGGGGGTATATTCGTCTGGGGATTCATCCTCAAGGCGACGAGAACGTTTCAGGGTTAAACAGGACATTTTTTTGAATTTATATAGTTATTTTTATTCCGATAATTTTGCTGTATCGCCTCCGAGTTTCACAGAAATACTGAATTTAATACGATAGCTAAAACGTATATTTCGTCAGCTCTTTTAAGGCCTACTCTGATACCGAAATGCCTGACTACATCTCCAGTTAGTACGAGTATCTTAAAGATACGCCATAAAACATTCTCCAGTTTAAACAATGTGCCTGCCACATGGTGCGCCTTGGCTGCCTCGAGTCTCCAGTCTATTTCCGGCTGGCACTGGCTGGCCGTAAAAGCAACAACACGGACATTAAGTGTTGCTCCGGCAAAGTCGTGTTAAGTGGTCCCCAGTCTTAGACAATGACGTTTATAATTTACGATGTCATGACGCCATTTTTAAATCACTGATAATGATAATAAATTAATATACAGACACCAGGGTCTCGCTCTGGGTCTCGCTCTGGGTCTCGGTGTGGGTACGGGCACCCCAGAGACACACGAGGCACACGAGGCACACATGGGAGCAGCCGCCAAGGCAGTAAACATCCAGCCCCCGCCCCCCATCGAAACGCCACCCCCTGGCGTTGTGTACTTATTTAGCATGAAAAGTCATTTTAAAAAGTAGAAAAAACATTTGCTTCTGCGTCTTGTTTTGATCTTTTTTGGGTTTCCAGCCCCCAAAGTGTTTTTATGGCCAACACTGAAAGGTTCTGGGGTTTTATTCTGTCCTCCAGATAAGCCGCGTGGTGATTTGAGAAGTTTTTTCCCAGAATATCATCTTAAAGGAGCACCAAAGGACTAGCAGGGGCACTAGCTTTCGAGTTTGAGATGATTTTAGTCTTTGTAGAGGTGGAATATGGGGACTATATGTGGGTGGGGGAGATTCTAACTCTCCAGGTTGCCAATCGATTCATTTATATAGATCTGGAATGATTGAAACTCCCACGAAACCCCCTCCATTCCGTTGTAATCGAAAAATGGGGCAACATTTGGCCACCGAATAGGAACTGCCGGCGGAACACTTCAATAAATAATCTTTTTGGTCATAAATTTGGAATGTGGTGCCCAACAAAGTTTTACAGCTCCATTTGTAGGAGAGTATTTCGAAAGTAGACACAAACATGCCAACAAGAAATCGCATAAAAGATTTGTCAGGACCCATTCATACGAGTATACTACGGGTATTCCTCACGAGGTACGAGGCACGAGGCATGAGGTGTGGGGCATGGAAAGCCCTCTTCTATGTATCCGCTTCTCCTCCTGCGGCGAGTAGTTCAACAATTTTCGTGTGCACATTTATTTTTCCGTTTGCTGGCGCTCCGCCGTATTCCCTCTCTTTGGCAGATTATTGTTTCCATGGTCGTTTCTGTGCCACGTTTCTGTGCCACGTTGCTGTGTGCCCCGATTCGGGTTAATGCCTTTTCGCAGTCGTCGCGACGGCGACGGCGACGTCCCGTCTTCCACCATTGTCTCTAGTTGGGTTCCCTGGAGCTGTTGCTGTTGTGCTGCGGACTCGAAAGACAAAGTTCTAGCCCCAAAAAGCCACAGCGTGGTCTCCCTTTGGAGGGTTACAAAGTTGTTAAATGCTTTCAATGAGATTTTGAATGTTTTTCATGCTGCAAATTGTATTTTCCGCAGATACGAAGAGGGACCTTCAGTGCTCCCTCTGTAGTTCTATGGATTCCCATTCCCCTCCCCATCGTATTAGCAATAATAATTTCCGCTTGGGAATCAATGGACGAATATACAAATACGCATATTAGATGCTCACTTGGTTTCCATTTGTGTTTGTCTTTGTATTTTATGGATTTATGCATGGGCTTGTATTGTAGCTTGTATCTTGTATCTATCTATCTTTTTCCATCTTCAATGAGCCTTTATTTGTTAATATTTCGTAAATATTTGCGGTACATGGCCCGGGCCTAATAATAATCCCGAACAGTATTAAAATAAATAAATTTTTATGGCGGAACCATACCAGAGATGCTTTAATATTTATGCATAGAAATGCGTACATTCAAGGGGGTGTGGGGGGTGGGGGGCGTCCCCATGAGGGAAATCGCCAAATTGGTTTTTTCTAAATGTTTATGGCATCTTTTCGCATAATTTTTCGCTGCTTTTTTTTGCGTCCTTGCCGGCAGGAAGGAAGGAAGTTCGAGGCCATATACTGCCTTGAAAATTACTTCGGAATGTCGCTGTGAAATGATTTGGCAGAAATCATGTAAGAATTTGTCCCCAGATGACTTTATTATTGCCCTTCTCTGAAGTAATGACAATTCAATTCGATTCGATTCGATCCAAGGTGAAACGTTTCCCGATTTTTCGACTATCACTCCACGATGATCCTGTGTTTCGATTAGAATTTCATTTGAAAAAATACTTTTTGTATGGCCTTTCTCTCACTCTCCCACATCCATACAATTGCTGGAGGTTTTTGTCAGTCAATTTGGAAAGTAATTTCACTGCCTTTGAGGCATGGAATTCCCCTTGTTTTGGGCCTTCATGGAATGCCGAATCATCACTTCAGGCTGGCTTAACATGAATGTCCACTACTATTAAATGAGCTTAATATTTACTAATGTGCTTTGTCTATCGCTTCTGTCCGCCAGAAAGATATTAAGTTTTTTGAATTCAAAAATCCTTTAATTCCTCAATCTCTGAGGGACTAGAATGTGCACTGAAATATCCTTATAAATCAGAAAATGCTTTGCCCCGCATTTGCTTTTTGAAAGTCTTTGAATTTGTTTCCTAAAAAATCATAGAAAAATGTCTTGATATATTTTCAGGTATATAGCCATAGGGCCAGCGACCCCATTTTTCGACGCTAATTCGAATAAATGCATGTTATTGAAACTTAATTTTAATATAATATTTAATTAGTATATACATTCATTAAAAAAAAAAAAAAAAAACAAAAATCTTTTTTATTTTAATGCAATCTTATTGTATGGACTCAAATATTTCTAACTGAGTTTGTTCCTAGACTGTTGTATAAATTGCTTTAAAAATATCAATTCACAATAAAAATGTATTTTTTCTTGTATGAGATAATTTATTCTAAAATATATATTTTTTATCATTAAGAAAAAGCAAGAAATAGCTTGCAGATACTTCCTTCTAGAGGCTGCTCAATATATTAATCTGCATTTTATCAATGTGCTTAAATATATGGGATTTTTTGGAGAGGTACTTCCACCTCTCAGGTAGACCATTGTGATATCTTACGTGGCCGGCTAAAGGCTCATGGGATTTTGGACTGGACAGGAAGAAAAAACACTTGTCTAGCCCTCCGTTGGTTTCCAGAGTCGTCTTTAGAGTAAGAAAATGAATTATTCCAAGCAAAACTATCATTTTCAATTGAATTCAAGTTTACATTTCAATTTTATTTCAGGTAAATTCAATGGCATTTCATTGGCCTCAAAAGAGTTGCCCTTTCTCTGGTGAGTCCGATTTTCATTAGATTTCCCAAAGAATTATATTCTTCTTCCTTAAATACAGAAAAATACGCTTTGAAATAAATAGAAGCTGGATTACTTATTTATAGCTCAAGTACTTAAATATTTTGTAATAAGTGAACCTTTTCAATGAATAATTCCTTTTTAGATTTAAGCCTATTTAATGTATCTTTTCTTGAAAGTTTCCTTAAGCGTAATCCTGCGTAGCTCTGGATCTTAAATATTAAGTCTTACATTGGAAATTACATTCTACTTTGCTTCACAGCTGCAATCCTTTACGTTTCATAGACTCCTGCCCCTCCCCCTGGGTTTCCCCTAGCAACAGGGCGTCTAAGTATTCCCAGAGCAGCTGTGTCTACGGCTTAATATCTTTGGAATGCAAATCCTGGGCCCCCTCGTGACCGGTACAGCCCCGACAATTACAATTAAAGAGACACTTAATTAAATCAATTGCCAATTTATGCAATATATTCTTCTGGGCATCGCTCGATTGCGCCGGCATTTTCTCAAGCAGAAATCCAATTTGAGACGAACATTAAATGGGAGCCGAGACACACACACAGAGACAGAGACACAGACACAGATACAGATACAGATACAGATACAGATACAGATACAGATACAGATACAGATACAGATGAAGAGTTTATTATTTTTCTTGATGAAGGATAATTCTCATGAATGGTTGGGGGGTTGGGGGGGTTTGGAATATTAATTACTAGCCTCTGCCGTTCGAATATTGATTACTCTTCCTCGAGATGTTTCGACTTTGATTACTCACACTCATTGTGATCCTTGGCGTTGACAGTGAGGACTGTGCTCTGCAAATCGGCATTCTCATCGATCTCAGTCTCGTACAGAAATCTATCGAAATATGGCGGTGAATCGTTTTTGTCGGCAATACCAATGCGTACAAATTTTGTAACTGCAAATAAAAAGAAGCACAAGCCATGACTTAGATACATAGATACTTTATATATATATATGTATGTGTATGTATAGGGATGTGTGTGTGTGAAGTGTATGAAATGCCAATAAGCAGCATTAATTATAGAAAATTTATTGATTGACAAATTGTGCGCGTGCCTCCTTTGCGGTCGAGAAAGTCGTAAAGTGGCTCGGTTTATGCGTGGAACGTGGCAGGCATAAAACGGACGGTGGGGTGGGGGTCGGGTGGGGGGGACTCCTCTCTAATTTGTCGGCCTACAAGTAAATTGTTAACATGCTGGCCCTGTCCAGATGTCCAAATAACCCTCGACTGGACTGTTTTTTGGGGGGGAGGGGGAGGGGGAGGCGCTTTCCAACGGAAAACTCTGAAACACTTGTGCAAAGTGAAAAGTTGGGCGCCCCGTTTTCGGGCCAAAGGAAAACAACTTTTCACAAAGTGCACAGCGAAGTGAAGTGGTTTTCCACCCCCCTCCCCCCCTCTCCCGTTATTTTATTTGCTTATTTCCAGCTAATGTCTTGCCTAACAAAACTTTTTGAATAGTTTTGTAGTTGTAGTTTTTGTGTGGAACGAACGAACGTGCGTTAATGAGTTTTATCCGAGCATCCGATGGTGGGGAATGGTGGGACTCAAGGTAGGGCCCCAGCACTGCACTGCACTCCACATGGCAAATGGCATTTGGTATTTGATTTTTGGTGAAAACTCCGGGGGAAACTTTCCAAAGACCGTCTTATGTTTTGGGATAAAGTTTTTATCAAAATATGAAATCCCCTTCAAAGGACACAGCCTTCCATTAGTGAGCTCTGGAATATGCCTTAAATAATTAAATCAGACTCCATTTGGCTGGCTGCAAGTGTCCTTTTGTCCACTCGGAAAACGCCACCCCGTGTGTCCCCCTGTGTCCCCGGGGGCCTGTCGGGGGCCCTGTATCGTTTTCCCACACGGACGGAAGCAATAATCTGTTTTTCCTGTTACAATTTTCAACAAAAACACAAAAGCACAAACCACACAAAGAGCCTCAGAACCGAACTTGTGTGTAAATATCACAGAAAAAGTATATTTTCTAGCAGCCGGGCAGCCCCAGACGCTGGGGGCCAAGGGGGTTTGGGGGCGAAAAATTAATATGGCTCTCGGTGCGTATGCGTGATATTGAAAAGACGACAGTTTCTGTGGGAAAATATTTGTGTTGCATAAATGCAATTCCCTTCTTTTCGGTGCTTTAATCCGGCTCAAAGGAGACCCTTTTAAATGGTGAAAAATGCTGCCTGAGCCCCGAGATCCTTGCGATTTATTTATCGTGCATTCAATGGGAAATGTTTGCATTGCAGATGACATAAATTTGGAAAATTAGTTTGCAGTCAGCTGAGTGGAAGTGTTGTGCAAACCTTCGACATTCGATTGCCAAAAATGTTGCTTAAATTTCATCAAGAAAAACGATTAAACTTTAATCGATGGCTGGGCCGTTCTGTTTGTTTGAAACCCCTCAAGATCTGCTCATCTTAGAGCCGAAACTTGAAGCATCTTTTCGGCCAAAAACTAAATGAAAAATGAATTCGTAAACCTCTTCATTCACCTCATAAGAGCGTCTGTTTACAGAGCAAGACAAATGGAATCTAATTTAGAACTTGGCTCTTTGCCTCTTATTTAGTTTGGGGCCAAGTTAAGCACGTAATATGCTCCTCCTTTTCCCCCTTTTCACCCATTTCACCTGTGCGCCCCGAAAATGAAAGAGAAATGAGCAAAACTAAGTACACACACTTGTACGCACACAAACACACACAAAAACACAAACAAACACAAACAGAGGCCACTCTTTTTTCGTTTTTTTTGGGTGCCAGGACGAGTACCAGCTCAAGCAAAAAGCTCGTATAAATAAGACCCGGAAGAGGGGCCAAAGGTAAAGGAAAATGTGGGAAGAACGGCTTGAGCGGAAAGCGTTTAGAAGCCCCAACACATGGCAGAGCCTCAAAGTAGGTGCACAAGTGTGCGTGTAGCTACAATAAACTGAATAAATACTGAATAAATACCACACAAAATACTCATCATGAAGCACTGAAGGGGGCAGAAATATTTTTCAACATTCTTGAGTTCTGTTTTTGGCACTCTCATAATTTCGGGAAGGAAAAAGAGAAATGTGGACTATTTGGGGGTGCTGCCTCCCTATAGAGAGAGTTGTGGAGGGGAAGAAGTTCCTTTTGGCAAGTGCCAGCCTTCGAATGCATCGTAATTTCTATGCAGAATGCAATTAAAACTGTAGAATCTCGTTAAAATTGTGTATAAATATATTCCTCCCCCCCATACCTACGAGTACACCCCCCCCCCCCCCCCCCTTTGCTTTGCCTTCTGCCTGGGCAAAGTGGCCGACTTTTTGTTGGTGTTAAATTGAGCAGCAAAGTGAACTGCGCCCAGTCATCAGCCTGCCATCAGGCCACCAGCTTCCCCTAACTGCCCCCACCCCTCCGTGCTTCACGCTGTCTTGGCGAGGCAGTCAAAAGGGCTCACTTTAAACTATTAACGTGCAGGTGAAAGGTGGGGCCAGAGGACAGGAGTCGGGAGTCGGGAGTCAGCGCCAGAGCCCCAGCAGCCGTCAGCTATTTATGGCCGCATAACTGGCACACTAACAAGCCAACAGGCCCGCCCTCCCCCCACGAAACCAGACCCGCCCCCCCGCTGCGAGTGTGCCATATGTCAGTCTATGAGTGACTGGCAGCTGGCTCTCTCTCGCCCTCGCCCTCTCTCTGGTTTGTTTTTTTTCTGTACAGCCAGTAAACATCAGCACAGCCCCACATTTCTCTATTTTATATGCAGCTTTAGAATTCGTTTTGGTGCTCTACAAGAGGGTGATGTGGCTAGGAGACCAAAGAGGGGAAGGAAGCGTTTTAGATCCTAAATTTCGACTCCAACGATTGGTGACGATCGTATAAGCTTTACCACCGGAACAACAAGGAACACAACGCTCCTCTCTTTATCTCCGCATCTGTCTCTCTATCCTAAAGGGTATTTAAAGCTTCGGTTTATGCTTCTAGCCTTTCTTTGGTGTAGTTTTTTTGTCTGTCTTTTCTTTTTCGTGCAAAGCTAAATAAATAAAAAACGAAATGGGTGAAATGGTAAAGGGAAAAATGTGTGCAAAGTGGCGTCAAATGTCAGAGCTGCTCAAATCATCCATGCCACACACACACACACACACACACACACACACACACACAGACAGAGAGGGAGAGAAGGAAGAGCGAAATATAGACAGAACAGAGACGGGACGGGACGATAGTCAAAGTGGAAGTTTCGTGGAGCTCCAAAGGCAAAGAGCCAGCCGGAAGTAACATTTTCCAAAAGGCAACAAAGCGCATCACATTAAAACTGGCAGCGTAAAGGGGGGTGCAGAAGGGGTATGCTATTCCCTTTGATAAGATGGGATAGTGGATAGTGGACAGGGGACAGGGGAAGCCGGCTGGCGGGGATCGAAGGGGTTTGTCTCTGCTGTCTGTCGCCTTAGTTTATCCCAGTTCTCAACGCCTTTGTCGGTCTCTAGTCATAATATTTTATATTCCTCTTCCAAGTGTGCATTAAATTTGCAATATTTTTTCGGGCTCTGTTTTTTCTGTTTTAAATTGTTTCCGATTTCAATGAATGTAGAATTTTATTTATGTTTTTGCACAACATTCTTTTAGCAAGTGGAGGCTTTTCCAAATTTTTTGCTTTGTGTTATTTCAAGAGCATAATTCAAACTCAATTGGCAGTCCTTTCAAATGCATATTTAATGTATTGCAGGACTTTTTATGGCACTACCATTGTAATAAAATACAATGAATAATTTTTTATAAAAAATGTACATTGATTCCTATGATTCTATGAAGAGTTGAAGAGTGATTTGTGTTATACGATCTCCAGTGACTTTTTTGGTAATTAGCTCCTGCATTAATGCATAATGTTTTTGCTGGGAGCTCCTGGGAGCCGATGCAAGTGTAATCCGAGCCCCAACACATGACCTAATTAGCTGCCAAATTTCAAATACGAGTAGTATTTTCCCGTAATCTACCTCGGGCATTCCTTAGGTCCTTGCACAAAAATCGAGCTACGAAAATCGAGCCTTGAAAGTTTTACGGCGCAACTTTGATGGCAAATAAATAAATTACAACTTTTAATTTACTAATTAGTTTTCAGGGTTCGGGGCGAGTTTTGGGACACAAAAACAAACAAACAAACAAACAGATAAATAAATGAAACCAAATAAATGAATTGCAAATAAATAACCGGATGTGATTGTGGCTGCTGTGCTGTGTTGTCCTTGTCCTTTGGCAATAATTTAATCCTGAAGGCGTTGAGCGGGGGCTTAACAGGGCCACGCCCACACACCCACACAAAGAAAACACATTGCGTAATAAATTTTCAGCAAGTTTATGATAATCTCATGTTGTGTTTACTCATGTATTTTGGATTAAGTTTTCGCTTTTAGTTTTCTGTGTAACATGCAAAAAAAAAACCAGAAAGAGAAAAGAAAACTTTGCTTTCCGGCATGGGACAAATATTGACAGGGTAATGATCGAGTGGGCGAGTGGAGCTGGCGACTGGGAAGCGTGTGAAAGTTATTATTAGTTTAATGGGCCACGCGATGGGCTCACAGGGCGTATGCGTGACATGTCATGTGGCAAAAGTTGAAACTGTCAGATAGTTTTACATCCACACACACACACACACACACACTCATGCACTGATGTATTCATAAGCCAAAGGGTTCTTTCGCTGCTGAATTTGTCACTCACATAATGGCAACACATTTGACTTTGCCCTTAAATGATTTAGGTAAATGCGGAAGGGCCCGGGCATAGCCTCTCATGAGTGCCTCTCTCTGTGTGTGTGCATGTGACTGTTATAATTAGTTTTACCGTTAATTTATTGCTGTGGTGGCAGTCCTTTGATCCCAAGCAACAACTGCTGTTGACACTTGACATTCGTTGTGCAAAAAAGATGAACAAAATGTGAGAATGACAAGGAAATGACACGACAAAGAGGTACCTGGTAATGAATCAAAAACATTGCTGCTGAAAAAAGAGACTTAAACCCACAGAACTCTCGTATGGGGATCAAAAAAGACACAAATGGGATTCATTAGTCATTCAGTTTGTGGCAGTGAAGGTTTTGTTTGCGATTGTCACAGGAAGTAGAGCTAGCGAGGCTTCAGCGAGACTTTAGCGGGACTTTAGCGGGACCTCAGCGAGACTTTAGCGAGCTTTCAGTGAGACCTTAGCGAGACTTCAGTGAGACTTCGGTGACACCTTGGCGCGACTTTAGCGAGACTTTAGAGAGGCCTTCGCGAGACTTTAGCGAGACTATAGCGAGTCTTTATCGAGACTCTGGCGAGACTTTAGCGATACTTTATCGAGACATTTGCAAGACCTTAGCGCGACTTCAGCGAGACTTTAGAGAGGCCTTCGCGAGACTGCAGCGATACCTTAGCGAGACTGCAGTGAGACTTTAGCGAGCTCTCAGTGAGACTTTTGCGAGACTTCAGCGAGACTTTAGAGAGGCTTTCGCGAGACTTCAGCGAGACTATAGCGAGACTTTAGCGAGGCTTTAGCGAAACCGATGCGAGACCTTAGCGAAACTTCAGCGTGGACTTTGCGAGACTTTAGCTAGACTTTTGCGAGACTTTTTCGACACTTACGAGAATTTACGAGAATTTTTACGAGCCTACAGCGAGACTTCTGCATTCCTTCTGCGAGAATTTAGCGAGACTTTTGCGGGTCTCTTGCGAGACTATTGCGAGACTTTTTCGAGAATTTCTTTCTCTCTTTTGCGAAAATTTGCAGGTGTTTTGCGACACAAAAATGTATCACTAATAATTTGCTTACTTGCGAGTTCGCTTTCGAGAATATTGCGGGACTCTCGTTGGTCCGATGGGTTTTAAAGGCGGGAGTTTAGTGGATTTATCTTGGAAAGAGCAGTCTCTGGAATATTGTCCTATTGGACAGAGCAGAGGCTCTTCTTATTGCCAGAATTTGACTAGTTTCGATACATCCGTAGGAGCCATGAGTTTTTATACATAGGTAAGTAATACAATCTATGGGTTCAACCTTTAATATTGCGAATAAATAAGCAAACAAATGCCTGGACTCCGATTACTATTCTAGGAAATCCACTTATAATTCCTGCCGCACTTGAGGCATGATTTATGAACTGGTATTGGTATTGGCCAAATCCCTTTCTGATTCGGCATAAGCCCAAATCCAATCCCACTGGGGGGAAGAACCCTTCTCACATTACCGTTCGCTGTGAGCCGAAGGAAAAAATTACAATTAAATCCATTTAATGAACTCGTTGAACCCCACGGATTCCAAATAATAACCTTTTCGGGCCGCGGGCATGTATTCAACGCGGGACTTCGGACTTTGGACTTGGGAGGCCTTTGAGCCTTGCAGCTCATTAACTTTGATGATGCACAAAGAGTGCGGGGTTCTACTTGGACTTTTGCAGAGAAATTTCAATTAAAACCCCTCGGTCCGAGTCCTATGGATATTTGTATTCATTACAGAAGATCATCATCATCATCATTAGTGTTGGCTTTGGCGATGGCGTTTGGCATTAGCGTAAATCCAACATCCGATGCCGGAAGTGACCTGCACTTCAACTTTTCCAACAACGAAACAAAAAATTGTTAATTAAACTTATGAAATGTTTAGAAAGGTAGTTTTTTATTCACCCTTGCAGCCGCTGGCCACCGCCGCGCCTCCCACGACTAATTAAAAAGTGTGTGCCAGGGCCACAAAACAAAGCCCAAAATCACAAAACACATCACAAAAAGCACTGAAAACACTGAAAAGTGTAGGAAAATGAGAAACAAGATGCTGCTCGGGCACCAATATAAAAAATATGGCGACAGGGACAGGGAGAGGGACGACGGCGTTGATGAGTTGACAAATATTTTGTCTGTCATAATGAGTCCGTGCGAAGGCGACAGAAGGTGAGGGAGGCCTGGACCCTGGCAAGGACCTTGTTTATGGGACTGTTTCGCTGCTGTTCATTAACCAAGGGGCGCACGGGGGATGGGGGGGGTGGTATATTCAGGGTTAGATGCTGGTCCAGTGGCGTGTTAATTACGACCTACATCCGGTGGAGGGCGGAGGGCCGGAGGGGCAGGGCTGGGCCGCAATTAAAAACTTTCTCTCGCATAGAAATTGCATTTCTATCAGTTCAAGTCCATGTGTGTGTGAAAAAGAGAAAGTCACTGCAATTAGAAATTAATTTACACAGAAAATTGAATTAATTTTGGGTGGGCGGGGGGTGTGGCCAATCAACAGCGACTTGCTAGAAGAAAATATCACTTCTTAGTGGGTAAACATTTCGGTAAATATTTGTTGAGCTCTACTGTGGGGGATTTCCTTTGTTTTCTCGACAAATGCGGAGGACAACCCTCTTCATTATGGCCTCAAGAAATCTACTAAGAGAATTACAGCAGAAGGCGGCACCGGAAATACAAATGCAAACATATTTAAAATGCATGAAGGAGGAGGCGCACCCCGAAAACCCTAAGGTGTCGTTAGCCTGGATCCCACACGAGTCCCCCCCCCCCCCCCCCCCCCCCCCGCAGCCAGCGAAGCCAGCGACTGCTTTGTGGAAGCCCCACAAATTACACTTCATGAAATTTTCACAAGACCATTTACATAAGCATAAAGACGGAAGGCGAAGGCGAAGGCAAAGGCAAAGCCAGGGGGGGGGCTTCAGGGGGCTGGAAATAATCATATGCACATCTAACTACTTAGTTCGTACGCAGAGGCACAGGCAAATGGCCGTACGCGGCTGTACGGCTGTACACACTTACCCAAATAGGTGCTATTTGTCAAAACCCAAAAGATTTTTAATGGATCGACCATAACTACGCAGACCAGACCAGGGCTAGGCGGTCGGCAGTAGGCAGTAGGCAGGGAGAGCTGTAGCTGTATTTCCTTTAGCTGCTGTCAATGTTCCAAGGATTCTTCCAGGCAGTCCTCGGCTTCCCTCCGGCTGTGGGCTCTTCTAGCTCCAGTTTATATTTCAGTTTACTTTTCCCTTCCTTTGTTGATTTGCACTATTTTTAATGAGTTGCTGCGGTGGTCCTTGGTCCTTGCCTTTGAGGTATCTTTCGTTGTGCACTTTTACGGCATTTGCATAAATCTGAATCCGAACACTGCGCATTGCTCATTGCATAATTCACTACAAAAGCCACAAAATATTATACAAATTGAACGAACTTTTCCTTCACTTTCCATCACTTTCACGCCCTTGACACAGAGCTGCCACTCCGCCTCCACGTCCGCCTCTGTTTCTGTTTTTGTTTGAGTTTTTGTTTTCGGTAATTAAAATCGCTCTTGGCGTCGTCCTTGTCTCCGCTTTTGGTGGCATGGTAATTAAAATTTTTCGTTTATTTATGTCACAAACACACGCGGACACGCGCACACGCACTTCGTCGTTATCGCTATCATTATCATTATCGGGGTTGTGCGATCGTAATCGGGGGGTTATTAAAAACTTGTGACAGAGAGAACAGAGACCCTAAACCAGGCCCAGACCAGGCACTAATTGCGTGTGCAGTTGATGCTTTTTGGCTGGCATTAAATTGGATTTAGTTTTATGTAAACACTTTTGTTGGGGATTACAATTAAATGCAGTTTATTTGCAGGGTGGAAGGGTAAAGGGATGGCAGAGATACGAAGTCGAGGATACCCATAATGCGCCCCACAGACCACCTGGGACATCCCTTTGGTCGAGACGGCAGGCCTCCTCCTCTGTCTGTTTGTGATATAATCAAAAAGGATTTGGCTTAGAGATGAAATCCCTGTTAAGCAGGTACCAAGGCCCTGCTCTAGTTTTGAGTGAGCCTCGGGCAAGGTAGGGCCCAAATCTTAGCAATTAGATGCAAACTTCCACCGCGCCCCCGCCCCCCCTTTGGTTGGCCATTTAGAAATTCTCAAACGCTCTTCAAACAGTTGGCCGTCAAGTGGGCCCAGCTACAACAGTTAACAGCCATTAGGCAACTTTGGACCGGGCCCAAACAAAAGGCTGTCCAAGCAGCGCCAATTAACGCACACAGTTCGCGATCCTCGGGACTCCCGAGCGCCGCTGTGCCCAAGGCGACACGGGGAGAGGGCGGCAGGGCGGTAGGGCGGCCACAGCCTTGACCTTTATCCGGAGGCGTAGACAAACTCCTTGTTGCCGTTGCCGTTGCCGTGGCTGTGGCCCCCCTAAATATTTAATTGTTTATGCCATAAGGGGTAATGGCTTAGTCCCCCCCCTGCCCCCTGCCCCCCTCTCTCGCTCTAAGTGTACTTAAACAATTTGGGAAGAGACTTTTTAATGGACAGCCATAGCCGTCTCCATCTCGGAGATGGCCGTGGAGCCGGAAGTGCGTACTTTTGTGTGGCCGAAACGATTAAAGCCGCGGCCAAGTAATTAGTGACTCAATTGCTTCGCTCTGGCGCTGAGAGCCGCGCATACAAATGGCCTGCTTCCGACTTTGATGGGTTATTGGTGGTTTTGTCATAAACCCAACCCCAACCCATAGACCCGACCCGACCCGCAAGCCCGGCACAAGCTGGCCAAATCAATTGGCAGCCAACTGGCGTCTTCAGATATGAATAAATGTCGAGGGAGGGAGGAGCTGCTGCAGAAGAATACCGCGCTTAGGGGGAATCGAGGTCAGAGAAATTAGCGTCAGTCCCCCCTCCCCCTAATCCGCCCCCCTTTCCACGCAATTTATGCAAATTTATGCAACTCTGGCCAACGACTGCCAGCTGCTGCCTTGATCCATGTAACTCGAGATAATTTAAGTCGGCAAACGGCGTTTTGTGCCTTTTGCCTGCCAGAAAGTTAAACATGCTCATTTCTTAACTTGTTCTTTCTTTGAGTCGAGCCAAAGACGGACCCGGCCGGGCCCAATGCAGGCACAAATTTTGAAATTGCACTTTTCCGCCCACAGATGAGGACTTGCGGAATAAGAAAGAAAGAAAGAACGAAGGAAGGAAAGGAAAAAACTATACGGAAGGAGGATGGAGGATGGAGGAGAAACTGTTGCCCAGCCCCGGCGGAAATACGGAAAAGCATAAACTTTCCGGCCAAGAAACCAAGAAACCGCGCCGCGCCGCAGCCTCTTGGGTGGAGCCTCGAGTGGCGGCCCCCCCCCGACATTTGAAAGCGCCAAAATATAAAGCGCAAAATGTGGCGGAAGTTTAATGAATATAAACTTGCTCGATCCCCACAAAAGCAGCCCCCAAAAGGAGGAGGGGTGTGGGGAGGAAACAAGTAAATTAGTTGAGTTTACTCCCAAGAAAATGAAAGAAGGAACGAAACGAAACGAAATGAAATGAAAGAAAGAACGAAATATGATATCCGCAAATGTAAGTTGGATGACAACTTTATGAGGGGCTGCCACGGGGGGGCGGGGTCCTGCGGCACGGCGCGGGATGCCGCAATGTTTATCTGGGGAAAATGGTTGCTGGAAAATCAGTTGGACACCTGGGGCGCCGCCACAGAACTACAGAGCGTTTACCGTAAGTAGATCGCTTGTTTCTCGAGGGAGAGGAAAAGTGGTGGGCCCCAGAGAAGGCTCTTGCCACGTATCTGCCTTAATCCTTCCTTCAAATGATTCCCAGTCTTTGGTAAATCTTTTTCCCCAGCCAAATTCCCAACTTTTGTTGGACAATCTTTATTCCATCCATCCAGCGGATGATCCCAGGAATTAGTAGATAAAGCTCGAGTCCCTAAGCGCTGCCCTGCTCAGCTTTCTCCGGAGAAAGGCGTGAGCGGGCGAGGGGGTGGGGGGGGTGTTGCCTGTTTGTTTCGCAGTTGTTGCCCCAACAAATGGCAAAAGTTTTCGCTTTGTTTTCACAATTGTTGACGTGCAATTCAAATGAGTTAACAGCGCAAAAAGTGAGTGACCCACATCGCCGGCCCCACAACAGCTGGCAAACAGCTACAAACCGGGGGGAGGGTGGAGGGGGGGGGGGGAAACATGAAAAATAGCAAGTTGTAAAAACACGAGCGAAGCCCGGGCCCCAAACAAGCAGGCAACATATGTATATCCTGTTGTTGTTGAAGGATCCTGGAGCCTGGAGCCTGGAGAGGGGGGGGGGGGGGGGGAAACAATTATAACCAGCAGACTAGCAGGCAATGGGTACTCCTCGAAGGGTCGAAGGATCCATGGGTTCCGATCTAAAATCCCCGCCGAAGAAGCTTCCTTGCGGATAATCTCTGGGTGGCTCCCACTCTGCGCTACCTTGCGCACCCTCAAGAGGCATGCCCCAACTCCGTTGTGCTGCTGCTTGTTGTGTTGCCACGGCAACGTGCTTCACGCTGCAAAATGTTTGCAAATCAAGCTGGATTCCAGCAGCTGCTGGCAGGGGCCGAAGGGCCGAAGGGAGGTAAATCTTCAACAAAATTGCATCTTAAGAACAACTTGGCAAACGCATCAAATGCGCTCAACAATTCAATTAGCGAAACATTGTAAGACGTGCCAGACGAGCAGAAAGTCTGGATGGAGCACACCACCGCACCCCGCCCCCGCCCCGTCCCTGCGGCCTCGGATTACCGCAGGAAAAGCGGGGAAAAGTGGAAAGTTTTGCAGAACTTGCAGCGCGGGAAAACAAATGAAGCGCCAAATATGCGCGCACACCAAATAATCAATCGGGAATCCAAGGACTCGAATAAAATGTAATTAATTACATTCGCTTGTCTTCGTTTTCGAGCCGTCTCAAGAGTTTCGGAAAGTTGCCCGAAAACCAATATTAAACTGCTGGCCCAGAGCCCGGGGCTTAGGCTCCTGCCGTCCTGCAGCCAGACCGCAGGGAACTGTGGCAACGATTTGTTGAAATTGGTCAGGCTTAAGGGGGATTTCCCCCCCACATTCTCCTGTTGAAAGGCTCAAAAGTGCAATCTCTGTCGAGTGCGGCAGCTCCGTTTGTTAATTTGTCTAAAACTCTGTCGAAAGTCGGAAATCCTCTCCGTAATTGTGGCAAAAGCCAAAAGCCATGCTCTAATGAATTTATTAATCAGTTAGGGATATCATTGTTCTGGCCAATCAATGAATTGATATTAATTTCCACAGAGGACTCCAATTTAGAGACTCCAATTTATATGCCCAGCAGCAATCAAATGATTTGCCAACGTTTGCCGGATCGTTGATAGAGTGACCCGTAATCGAGTATCGTATTACAGCGACGTGTCGACGGGACGTGTCCCTCAAAAAGAATACAAAAAATATACTAAAAAGGCGGCTATATATTTATATGGCGAAAATACCATAGAGGTTCCGTTTTGGGGGTGCTTTGGGGGGGGCAACGACCAAATAACTAACCACAAGTGGAAGGCACACACAAACAGTGGTTCCAGGCAGGACACTAGAGGCTACAGGCTAGAGGGGGGCGTGCAGGACCCTCGACAATGGAACAGTAAGTGAGAAAATAACATTTTAGCTTTTCCTAGGACTCTGGACTCGTGACAGGCTCACGAGTTGCCATTCCCCATCCCAATCCCCATCCACTCTCATCTGCCTGTCGCCTGTCACTCCGAGTCCTGGTCTTTGGTATCTTATATATAAATATATTTTTTTGCTGCTACTTGAGCTCCTTGTGCAATGTTGTTGGTACGTTTTTTTTTTTTTTTTTTTTGTCGAGTATTTATCGTGCATTTATTTTGTCAACATTTCTCTCGTTTCTGGCCAAATGAAAATAAATTCAAATGATTTATTTACGAGCATTTGATTTATTTGATTTTCGGCATTTGCTTTAACCCCCCCCCCCCCCACACCACCCACCCCCCACCGCTGCCCAACATTTTCTTTTGCCGTATTGCAGCAATCCAATCCAATCCCCCCCGCCACGCCCCCGCCCCCTACATGAAACCTACATGAAAATTGTATTGTATTTGCTCAGAATCGTTTTTCGGTGGCACCCCAGCCCGGCCTGAGAATTTATTTTATGCGCAATGTTTATTTGATTTCCTTTCTGATTTCTGCTGCCCTTTTTTTTCGCGTGTGCCAGCACTGCATTTGCCCTGCGACAGTCAATAAAAATTGCAGTGTATATTCTACGGGGGGTTCTTTTTTTCCCCCCCCCCCCCCTCTCACACACGTTAAAGGCCAATCGAATATCGGGGAAATATTTCGACAGGCCTGGACTGGCGGAGTGACGGCTGCCAAATGGAATTAAAAGCGTCGGATT